CAGAATCGGGACCCGGGAGTGGTACCGGGATCAGTGCCGAGGCTGCAGCCAGGGCAAGGATCGGGACGGGGGCCGGGGCTAAAACAGGATCGGCTCCACTATTGGCACCGGGATTGGGACCAGGGCTAGGACCACGATCCGGATCGCGACCAGGAGCCGTCCAGACCAGGAGTGGTGCCACCTACGCCAGGGCCGGGGGAGGCAGCGGGCGCAGCAGCAGCCGTGCAGGGTGTGCACGGCCCTGGAGTTAAAACCAAATAAATCACGCGCCGCCTTCGGAGGAGCCTGGAGAGGAAGCAGAAACAAGGGAATTAATTGCCGGCACAGTTTATATAACGTCCGCTGGGTGCGTTTAGCAAGCGTAGCGTTTGGGGTTTGTTTGGGTTTTTTTTCTGTTGGTCCTAAAGGAGATGCGACTTCCCGCAGGGTTAGGCAGCGTCGGGGACGCTGCAGCAGGCACGGTGCTCTGCAGAGCCAAGCCAGCCTCCTTGCTGTCTCCAGCCCTAAAGGCAGCGCCAATGTCTTTCTTTGCCCTTGGCCCATAGGCGCCAGGGGGCCACTGCGCCTGGGCCGCCCATGTCACCGAGCGCCGCCGGAGCTGGGAGCAGGGACCCTCGGCCGGTGAGTACGTGGGGCGGCTCATCCCCTCCCCGTGGGCTCGGCTGCCCTCGCTCCCGCCCTGCGCCGCCAACCAGCAAGCCCGCATTTTTCGCATTTCTTTTCCAGGTACCGGAGCTGAGGTGGTGAGAAACGGAGCGGGGAGCCAGCACGGAGGTGAGCACCGGGGCGAGGGCCCCCGTTTTCACCCCGAAACGGGGCGGGATTAACAGTGCTTTGCTACCAGCAGCCCGGGAAGGGGGCGAGTGAAGGCGGGAGGCAGCGCAGGGAGCGGGGCCGGGGGCCGGCAGCCCCGCGCGCAGCCCGCGTTCTTCCTCCGTCCCTGCTCCTCTGCAGGCCCTGCCTGTCGGGACTTGCTGCCAGGCAGCAGCCGGTAGCGCCTCGGCTTCCTGGAGTCACCGGCGGCTGGGGGGATCCGAGAAAGCAGAAGGGCGCCTTGCAGCATTGCCCCCATTCCCCGGAGCCGTTGGGGTGCTTTGGCTGCCGCCTGCGCGGCCCCTTCGAGGTCCCCAGGCTGCTCTGGTGGCCATGGCGGTGCACCTGGGAGGCGGTTGGACTGGTCAGCATCAAAGAGGCTGAAAACAAGGGGGTTCTCGGCTGCTTCCTCTCCGCCCGGTGGCCCGGGCACATTCCTTCCTCCTTAGGCGGCCGGGGCCGAGGCCGGAGGACGCGGCCGCTGCGGTTTCCCTCCGCCCCGGGGCCTCTCGCGTGAGGGTGAATCAATTGCCCACGCTCGGCTCAGCGGCTGAAACGTTGCATTTTTTTTCCCAGCGTGCCAGAAATTGTTGCTAGCGCTAAGGACGGGGCTGGGAAGGAGGGGGACAGAGCAAGGCCGCAGGCACCAGCGCCCATGTGGGAGGCAGGTGGACGGAGCGGGGAATGCCGAGGGTGAAGTTTGCTGAGCGTGGCCGCGGTTCTTCCAGCGCCGCAGTGGGGATTTTCATCCTGTCGCAGGTGTTGAGCAGGATCCCGCAGCCGGCGCCAGGCCGGTGGCCACCTCCACGCCGCTTCCCCTCTTGCCTGCTCTGCTCCAGCCTAAATCCTTCGGTGCGGGCTGGTGGGACGCGCTCTCCCTCACCCCGCAGGTAAGAGCCGCTTCCGCGGCGCAGATCCTGCCTGGCCAGCAAATCCATGCTGCTCTCTCCCCGGCTACCCAGCTGCATGGCCACAGGGCTGATGGCCAGCGGCCGCCTACGCTTAACCCCCAGCTCCACCTAAGCTTAACCCCCGGCTGGGACAGGGCTGCAGGGTGACGCTTGGTGCACGCGGGGCAGGGGACGGTGTCAGGACACCAGGCTGCCACGCTCGCATCAACGCGGCCGCCGGGTCACCTGGGGCTCCAGGCGAGCCATTTAAATGTGTCTCCTCTGCAAGCGAGGCCAACACCTCGTTATCTCGCAGCATAAAAAACTGGATAAAACCGTGGCAAATTGCACCCCCTGTCAGCAAAAGCCCGTGGGCTTTCCGATGAAAGGCACCGTAGAAATGCAACCGCGCCGGTCGCGGCCACCTCCTTCCCAGTTGTGCTCAGGAAGGTCTCGCTCCCCCGCAGCCTCTGCCAGCGCCTGCCTTGACATTGCTCGTGGAAGGAGTAACGCCACGTGCTCCTAGATAAGATAGAGGGCAGAAAAGAAACTTTGGGCCGGCGTGGGGAGGGATTATGCAGACGTAGCTAATGAGCGGCGCGCAGAGCGGGCAGCGTGCCATGGCGCTGTTCTCCCATAGGGGAAAAAAAGAAGGGAGAAAAGAGGTTTGTTCTGCCCCCTTTTCTATGCCCCGCTCCCTCTGCTTTGCTCTGTCCTGTTTAATTCTGGCTCCGCTCCTTTTTCTTCCCCTTGCGCACCGGGTTCAGCCCGGCCCTCGTGGCTGCAGCCGCACACCCCGCGGGCGCGTGCGGGCTCGCGCGCCAGCCGGCCCCGTGCCCAAGCGCGGCTCTGGTTTTCTCCTTGCCTTGTGTTAAAGGAAAGTTTCAGCTCCCGGCCGCAGCTACCGCAGGACGAGGGAACCCGTGGCCAGACGGTGCCGGGGGACGCGCCGGCAGTCCCTGGCACCATGAGCATCGAGAAAGCAGGTAGGGTGGCGGGAGGAAAAGGGGCTGCTTTGCTTTCGCAGCCCGTCACGGGCCTCCATCCTGAGTCAGAGCCAGCTCATTTTTTTTGATTATTATTTTCCTTGGGAGGACGCGAGTAATTTCAGGATTCATTTTATAGGCTTAATGTCCGTCCCAGGAGGCTTCAGTGAGCCCCGATGACTCTAATGTGCGCGGCAAACGGTGTTTAGAATGATATTGGGCGGGTTAGGAGCCAAACGCACCAGGATTAGGCAATGTTGCTGTTCAGTGTGCCTATATAATTTTAATTTGGCTTCCAGTACATTTGTGTGCTATGATGCAGTCTCTAATGACATGATCATATACCATCTTTCCACAAGCACCTGCTCATTCCGGCAAAAAAAAAGAGGATATTGGGGATGAATCAGAGCGAGGCAGGAAAGGCAGTTGTTATCTGAGTGAGGTGCAGAAAACAGAGCATCTCGTCATGTAATTGGGCTGTGTCATAACACAGACGTGCGTGGCGGCCTGACCGGGGCAGCAGCCTGGCCAACCTCCATTGGGTCATCCCTGTCTACTGAGAGCTGGGCTTTCCTAGCCGTGTTTCTAGACTCCTGCATGCAATGTGGCCTCCTCCCCTTGGAAAATGGGCTAAGAAACCCACCCAGACCCTCTGCTTTGTGGTGCTCGATGCCCAGCACCTCTGCTGGCATGAGAAGTCGGGCACGGGTCTGGATGGGAGCTTGTGCCTAGACCGTTCTTTACCGTGTGGGTGAATCAGGATTTCCTCCGCCTGGACACCTCCGCTTTAATTCTAGCCATGCTTAAACGCACCCTGGGCGTTACATGCGCGGGTGGTCAATATTCCCAACATGCAAACCTTCTGCGGGGGGGGTGTCGATATTCCCTGGATGGACCATCCCTCTGCAGGGGTGCTGGAACACCCCTGGCCTGGCAGTGTTTCTGCCATCCCCGTCCCCACCGCAGCCCACGCGGGGACTCCGTGTTGAGCCGAATGCCCTGTGCTGGTGCCAGGCGGCCTCCTTTCCTCTGTGCCCTCTTCCCGTTGCAGGGGGGAGGCTTTGCAGCAGCAAACGTGCCAGCCTGCCCGCAGCCCGGCAGTTCCCCGTGATCCAGAAGATGGTCAAATCCATGGCTCACCTGCAGGAGGAGAAGCTGCGGCTGCAGCAGGAGCTGCTGGCTCTGCAGGAGAAACTCTCTGCCCAGGAAAAGACAGAGGTCGATGTGTCCATCCAGCTGCAAGGCCAGGTAAGACATGGGCAGGGGAAGGATGGAGGGCAGAAAAGGGAGGCACAGTCAAGGTTACCGAGCGTAGATGGTGGCCTGATTGCATGCTGCATTTCGAGTGTGCTCGTGTGCAACGGAGCATCTTCCCTGCTGGCCTGGGAAGTTTAGCATGGAGAAGAGGAGCTCCAGTACCGGAGCCGCCCTTGCGGGTGCCTGTCGGGCTTTGGCTGAGCCCGTGCTCGGCCCCGCGGCGTTGAACCGTCCTCGCTGTGGTCGCTGTCTCCTAACCGACGTCGTCGCGACGCTCCGGCAAAGGCGGCCGGGCCCTTTGAAGCGACGCAGCCTGTCGGGATGGGGCATCGGCAGAGCCGGAAGCAGAGCACCTCTCAGGACAAGCTTGCAAAACCGACCGGCCGATTTAATTCCAGCGACTTTCAGAAGCCAGGAAGCTAAAGGGCA